ATGCTTGGTAGATGCCTCTCCCCACGCACACGCATCCTCAGTCTCTTATTTCACAAGATGGCGAGGAAACTAAATTGCCAATTTCTAGGAAGACAGGGATTCGCACCCTTGGTTACAAAAAATGTTAAGTAGGAAACCCCCGAACCAGCTGCTTCCATCAATATAGGGAGGGTCTAATGCTTTCACCCCCACGGCAAGTCAGGCATCTCCAGCAGAGCCTCACAGGCAGGTGGGGTCTGCAGTAGGGCTTTCTAGATATGGCAGGTGAATTTTTACTTGTTCTTCCCCTAGTGAAACAGACATCATTATTTTTTTCCCATTTCCCATGAAGAGCAGAAGGCCAAGGACCAGGTGCTGTCATGGGAATCTGGGAACAGAGGCATGCCTAGATGTAAGCCCAATTTCCTTTATTCAGCTGTGTGGTATTCAGACAGTCTCCTCCGCCGTGAAGAAGAGTCCAGAAACACGTACGGTCGCCATATTGAGACATGTACAGGTGATCTGTACACAGTTGCTCAGAGCAAGCCTGCAACTAAATTCCCCATGCATGACCACCACAACCTAGTTTCAGACTAAATGGAATGTTTCTCATGTCTTTTGTCCTTGACTAATTGATTTTTCTTTAGCAAATACATGTAGGGGGTAGCCTGAGCCAGATGAGGAACAGAGTGGGGGGTGAGGGTGAAGAAACATTGACTGTGAGTTCAATCAAACTCAGCTCCTCATGCTCGCTCGCTATTCCTAGTGGAAGGAAAGCATCCATTGTCATTAATGGGAGCTTTCCTCCCATTGCAAGGAACAAGCACAGCAGGACAGAATTCTTATCTGAACCACTGGGGGTATGTGTGCACGTAAAGCTTAAAGGTTCCATCCGATAGTCCCAATCCAGCTAAGTCCCTGCCCCATGGCACCTTTTTCTTTTTCTTTTTAATAGAAAAATTGACTATACATGGTCAAACTGTCTAATAAACATAACATCTAGTTTGGCTCTCAGAAGGACAAAACAGAGATTACTGTAAATCCAAACCTAGCTACTTCATCTCTCCTACAACCTTCTTTGTTGTATTTTAGGCATCAGGCAAAAAATTTTTATTTACCAGACATTTTAAAAATTAGATCTATTAATATTTTATTGTAACAATTTTGATCTGTTTATCATTGCTGTTGTGCCTAGGATTGTTGTGGCTATTTATCATTGGGCTTTTAGTGCTTCTAGTAGCTTTTATTGCTGTTTTATTGTTGGATTTTTATTGGTAAGGATATGTTTTAAATTGCACACCGCCCTGAGAACCCTGTGGGCTACACGGCGGTATAGAGATGCAATAAATTAACAAATAAACCTTCATTTTTATTTTAGATGCAAGGGGACTAAATCAGGATTTGGCCCCCAAGTACAGCAGGCACAGGCAGTTTAAGCTTCTCAGTCTCCCACTGTGTGTTGGTCCTTTGCACTTACTCAAATAAAATAGATATAAAATAGATTTTTTTTAAGTGACTGCCTTTGTTGGCATAGAGGCCAATCTGGAAAAGTTCCAACTTTTGAGAGAAATGCTTTTGCTTTCCTCACTTCTGCAATAACTTTTGTAATGAGGGGAAGGTTCTCTTTGGCTGATTGATCTGATTTATACCCCACCTTTCTACCAAAAAGTGGCACACGAAGCAGCTTACAAAAACCATTTAAAATAGATTAAAACAATAAAACATATTAAAATGCAATAGAAAATAAGAGTGACAGAACAAAAACAGCACCCAACTCAGAGGGCCTCTTACAGGCCAAATGCCTGCTTGAGTTAAGCGGTCTTTGCCCGCCATCCAAAAGAGACCAGAAGTGCATGAGAAATGCCTCCTTGCAAGGCTGCTAGAGACCCGTTGGCACCCAATGTGGCAAAATCCGGATTCTCCAAACACTTCCTTAGTAAAAGCATCCTTGATGAGATTCAGGGGCTCATTCCTGGGGCCCACAATCTGCAGCCTGAGTTGGATCACATCACCTGGCCCGCAGGTAGGCAGGCAGGTGGGCAGGACCTTGCCAGTTCCCAAGTAACCCATTAGGATACATCCTATATATGGCAACCTTTTCACCTCTGGCCTTCACCATGACCAACAGAGCCCCATCGCTGCATACATACGGTCAAGGAATGGCTTACCACTTGCACTAGGCAAAAAATACACCCCTTAGGACCTTGTGAAGTGATGACGAACCTGTAGGCCAAGGGGCTGGATAGCAATCTGATAGATAAATAAATAAGTCACAAAGTTGGTCCTTAGAGACTACATTTCCCATGCGCCTTGCTCTTCTCCCTTCTGTCTCTGCCCCTCCTATATTTCCCTAGCCGCAGCTCCTCAGGGGCTGGTATCCAGGCAGGGGCCATCACAGGAGCGCTTGGGCGAGACTTCACTCTACTTCTGCCTCAGGCGGGAGGCCATGCGCTGCCCTGGTCCTCCCTCGCTGCTGCCATCACCTCCACCACCTGCCCATTATTGCCACAGTGCCTCCCCAGAAGGAGACCTCAGGCTGCCTTCTCTGGGCAGCAGCTGTGGCCCAAACACCAGGCCAAGGGGTCCTTCCTCGAAGGGTAGCATGGCCCTGGAGGTGGCCTGGCTTCAAGGCATTCTGGGGAGTTGAAGGAACAGCTCTTAGCAAGCCCAGCACCATTGACGCTACCGGAGCCCCCTGACAGAAGAGGGGCCACACTTGATAAGACTTGGGCCGAGGTCCCTCACCCTTGAAGCTGCTTGTTTCAGGAGCCTCACATGTACACCGTTGCGAGACGGGGGTGGGGAACCTTTGGTTTTACAGCCATTTCCATCAGCCTCATTCCACATGGGCAATGGCAAGGGATGCTGGGAGATGCAGTTCTACAAGATCCCTGCTCAAGATATGGCAGCCAATTCACAGGCCCACTTACAGGCCAAATGCCTCCCATGGTTAGGGTCAGTTGGCTGGCACCGAACAAGAGCAGCCCACAGTCAGCACTGAGCTGGTGTTCCCTCCGCAGGACCTGGTCTGAGAGATGAAGCCCAGCATTCCCAACACTGGATGAACTGGGGAAAGGGGTGGGTGACAGCCGGACAAGTACGGTTGTGAGAACTTCGACCAGTAGGACAAGGCTGATGCCGAACGCACCACCTTGAAAAAATGCCATCTCCTGGCTGATGGCCCAGAGGCAAATACCTGAAAGCCTCTTCCTTGCAGCCTCCTTTTGAGATTTGCTCTGGAAGCCTTCCAGAGCAAATAGGACTGTTCTCCACATCTGTAGCACTTTGCCTTAGTGACACTGTTAGAATTTTCTGTGATCAGATGCCTCCAAGCTTATTCTTGATACAAGGAACAAAGGAACTTAGTTTGGCTTCTTGGCTCAAGAGTAAAAAAACCTGTCTTATCTATGAACCTTCTCAAATGGGACACAGATATCCCAGAAATTAGTAATACACTAGTTTATTAGCTGGTAAGACAGGGATTCAAGAGGGACGTCAGAAAATGCCAATTTTTGCAGGCATGGTAACCGGAAGTTGGTTTTAAATAATTAGCAATCAATGCCCTTACAGGATTCAGAGACCTGACACTCTAGAGCAGTGATGGCGAACCTTTTAGAGACCAAGTGCCCAAACTGCAACCCAAAACCCACTTATTTATTGCAAAGTGCCAAATCTGAAAACAGCCAGTCCAAGCGAATATATATATCCTTGGCAGCACACTGACCAGCCATGCAAAAGCTCGGACAAGTGGCAGCTAATGAGTCGTGGCTTGTGATGTAACTGCCTGGTGCCGCTACTCCTTTCTGAGCATGCGCATGGCCCCTCTGTGCGCTGTTATCCGATGCTCGGCTGCTGGGGCGATGCTGCGGCACCTTGGCTCGCGTGCCATAGGTTTGCCACCACTGCCCTAGAGTCATAAACAGAGCAATAAAGCCTGAATTTGATCATAAAAACAGGAATCTAGTCAGATAAAGTAATGTGAGAACTCTTATTGTAAATACAAGAGGCGTGTTTTGAGATCACACAGACATGGGGTAATGCAGAGTTTAGTTAAACCATTATTATCACAAACAAGTCTGCAATATTGAAGGGGATTAGAAAGATTTTATATGCATGTTGCTATATCAGCTACCTTATTAAGAGGTGTGTATTTTGGTAAGATTCTGGACATACACTATTTAGGATCACCAATGTATAAAAAAGATTTATACAACAGGGTTCTTTATTATACAGAAGAGAGAAATTATTTGAGAGAGAACCAGCTTTACCTTATGTGCCTATAGGCTTAGTGCCTGATAAGCTTAATACCAACTATTGCTTAATGTTGATGTATCATGTGTTTGAATATCTGCACACATAAAGCTAGTGTCTGGCATTGTTATGCTGATAGTTTAACAAGAAAGAAAGTGGAGGAGAGAGAGAAGATGGACAGATTTGGTTGGAGAGATTTCTTGCTAAGAAGCAACTCTGTACGTTGTTTATCTGAAGTAGGAGTGAGCAATCCTTTGAACTTGCGGGCACCCTTGAACATCTGAGAACTGTCCTGGAACAAGCAGAAACTGACGGCTCTGGGTGAGCACATCCAGTTGCAAAGGACAGATCCTGCCCAGAGGCATTTCATGGGAAATGAAGATGGCAGCAGCTAGAGGTTCCCACTTCACTCTGAAGCATTTGCAGTGGTTACTGAGAAAATATTTTTTATTTTTTTATTTGTATTTAAGCTGGTGGAGCAGGCCAAAGGAGCTGTCTGAGGATACTCTGATGCCCACTTGCCAGCTTGCCTACCCAATCTAAAATTTAGAATTTAATCTTACTCTGAGAAGGCATTTCGTTTTGGAGAAATTTGCATTTGCGGCGTTTAACATGCAGCTCAGGGTTAACATGCTTTCAAACATTCTCTGAAAAAGAGGCTTATGTCACAATATGCTTACTTGATCAGAGGGACATTACATAACAAAGAAAAGGGATTTTGCAACAGGGGATCTACACATTTTAATTTGTTGGAAACACATTTCAGTTGCTGAGGATTTCATTTATACCTTTATTGCTTTTTCAAGGATTTTCACCTGCTGTTTTCTCATTCTGTAACAGAACTGATTTATACACCATCTGAAATCCTGATGTAAGGACAAAAGATAGCATAGAAAGATGATAAGTAATTTGAGCTCCACTTCAGGTACAAAAAATCCTTGGGTTGGCAGTGCTCTTAGATGCTGGAAAAGTAAAACATTTCTGCCATAAGAGTGCTCTGAACCATTGATCGCAATTCAGGGCATGGCAAAACAAGTATACCACAGTTTTGAGGAGTATGGCCCTTCTGGTGTTGCTGGACTGCAACCATGAGAGGCCCAATTAATTATAACTGATATAATTCATCTTATTTTGTCTCAGTGAACTGTCCTGTGTATGGGCCTCCAGATATTGATGGACTGCAACTCCCATAATCCCCTACCATTTGCTGTGTTGGGTACTGCTAATGGGAGTTGCAGTCCAGCAACCTCTGAAGGGCCACATGCTCCCTACTCCTGGTGTAATGCAAGCAATTACAGTCACAGCTAGAGCAATTAGTAAATGACAAAGGAAAATTTCTGAGCCCTCTCCTCCTCTGGCATAGCAGTTTTAAAACAATCCTGTCAGAATACACAGGTGTATCTGAAACACTTGCGACACCAACTTCATTCCCATTTCTTCAAAAGACACTTTTCTCCGAAAATAAACCACACACACACGAACCATCCATTACACGCTTAACTTTAGAGGTGCTCTTTCTTGACATCCCTCTCAAATATTTGCCTTGCTAACGTTACCCGTCAATTATTTACAGTATTTCTTGGAACAAACGTTGCTTTTCTTGGCACCGGCTGCACTAGAAATGCCAGTGTCCCAGTCCAGGAAAGGAGATCTGTGTACCCACGTAATCATTCACAAAGGCTTCTTCTATGTTAGTGTTAAATTAATGATGGCACAAATGAGATGTATATCCAAGAAGGGACAAACAAATCCGTTTATTTTGCTTTCTATGCTGTTCTTTTTTTTCACTGTGCCTGCATGTTTGGCAAGTGCTGCCCCCACTCCAGCATATGACTTCTTGCACACTAATGTAAACAGTTTTTGATCCGCAAACTGCATTGTGCAATTCAGACCTGTGCGAAAACTGAAAGAGAAGGGCAACATCCTGCTTTGCATTTTGGATCAGGCGATGTGAGCAAGGTCAGTTTGTTTTAAAATGCAAACCAAACAAATTTCATCATCTCCATATCCAAGTCTCGGTATTGTCCACCTGCACGTCATCACTTTCAATTGAATGCATGTTTGGGCTCAACCAGATATGCATGAATTCTGTCTTTACCTGCTAGTGCAAGATCAAGAAATACATCTACTTGGCACGAGACGGAGGCACGGATCTTATCATGCTATGCAACATTTTGAAACAATACTCCTCAGATTGATCGAAACTGAATGTTTATTTGTCTTTTATGCTTCAACTTCCAAAGGAAAGAGAACCTTGAATGATCAAATCAGGATGCCATCCTATTGATAGTGCCCTCGATGTTCTTAAGCCCCCAAACCTGGAGGCACAAGAGCATCCAGTGCAGAGTGGGAGGAATGGCACAGGCAATCCCTAATGCCCTGTACCTTCTGCTCCGCATTTTGGAGCTGGCGTGCTTTGGAGAGGAAGGAAAAGAGACTCAGCCTCAACCCCCCACCCACCAGGATGCCCTGTTCTCCCGCTCCAAGGTTGATTTTCCCAGCATCAGGGAGGAAGCTGGCACCTTTCTTTCCATGCCAGCTGCGGGGACAGGGGGATCGGAGTGTGGATTCCCATCTCGGAGGGCAGAGTTCTGTCTCCAGCTTTGCAAATTATCTTATGGTCCTTCCAGACCATGTCTGGGACACAGGATCACTCTACCTTACTGAAGCAAAGTTTAAATGAGTGTTTATTAAGCTCTCCTTAATAAAGGAGAGCAAACAAAGAGCAACATCATCCTTTTCAGACTGTCCCCAGTGCCACAACTCCAGACACACACTGCTTATGTACCCCTTCTTACAAGAAGTGTGTGTCACAACCAAGCTACTGCTTTCCAGCAGACCACAGTGCTCCTAATTCCAGCCTTCCCCAACCTGGTGACTTGCAGATGTGTCAGACTAGAAGCCTGCCATGCTGGCCGGAGCTAAGGAAAGTGCTTCTCCAAGGTATGGTTTTAGTTTTCATTAAAAAATGCCATCTCTGGGTTACAAAATAGTTTGTGTTCAAAGCCAGTCCTAATGTACGTGAAGCATCATTGACTAACTAGAGCCGGGTCCAATGCCAGGTTTGAAACATGGGGCCAGGTGGCACGTGTTTTAAAGAGTCATTTGAAATGACTGGAAATGTGCAGTTCCAAACACAGGAAACTGATGCTAAATTTTAGCACCAACCGATAGGGTATCAGAGACTGAAATTTTTAAACAGCAATTTTGTTCAGATTTTAATTTTTAAGTGCGCTTCTGCATGAATCTGACTACTTTTAAAAAATGTCTGTGTGCAAGTGTGTGGAGTTTTACAACTTTGAAGACTCACCTCTCTCTCTCTCTCTCTCTCTCTCAATATTGCACTGTAAAAGCAGGAAGCAGCTGAATTTTGGAGGTGAGCGAGAGAAGAGATAACCGCTTAAATTCCACCACAGACAGGCTGGCTTGGCAGCTGTCCCGAGCCCCAGTCCTCCCTATGCAGAGTGCTTTGCAGCCACAAGTGGCAGGCAGCTCATGGCTCTTCGAAAGCGGACAGCCAGTCCAAGCTCTGACAGTGCGAAAGGCGGAAGTACCCAAGCTACAGAACCATGTCGTAAATACAACTGTGGTAAGAGAGAGGCTGGAACATCTGGCAGGAGCACCGCTCGGCCTGTGTCAGACTGGCTGGCTCCAGTCACTGGCCACCCGTCCGTACTGCAGGGGGAAAAGAAAGAGACAAGGTATAGTCTGTTGCTGGGGATGTACTGGGGAAGGCAAACTTAGAGCCATCCAGAAGTTTTGGACTGCAATTTCCATAACCCCAACCATTGGCCGTGCGGGGTAAGGCAAAGGGGAGCTGCCCTCCAAAACATCTAGAGGCACAGAATGCTGAACAAAATATCCCTTGATTTTTCTAAAGTAAAACACCAGTCTATAAAACTCCATTGGTACATACTGCATATTGCATGCAAGGCACTCCATGGGGCTACTCTACCCTCTTGTGACCCAAACAGGGAATTACAAGCAGGACAGCTGGCTCTCTCCCTTCATGCCAAACCAGTAAATAAACGTCAAGCCATGCCTTCACCTCAGTTCTCCCCCTGCTGATTTTACCTGAATATCTGTCAGCTCTTTCAGAAATCGTTTTGTGATCTCAGGCCCATTTTCCATTGTGGGGATATGGTAACTCTGATGCAAGAGAGAAAGAATTCCCTCATGAATGGCAGAAGGGGAAAAATGATTCAGTCCAACCCCAAAGGAGCACTACTAAGTGTGTCTCAGCTCTCACCTTGCCCTGGTAGAGGATTTTGTTCACGGGGCAAACAACGCAAGCCGTGCCAGAACCAAACACTTCCTTGACCCTGTTCTCCTCCAGACCTTTGATCAGGTCAGCCATTGTGAAAAGGTTCTCAGAAACTTTGAACTCCCCCTGAATGGAAAGAGATTCAAGAATGTTAAAGAATTCCATTGAAAAACATAGAAACAGAGCGCGTCAGAAGGGGTCTCCTGGGCCATCTAGTCTGATCCCTGGCTCCAGCCGGCTCCACTCACAACATGCCCACCACGTGCATGTCTAGCCTGTCCTTGAACACCCTCACTGATGGGGCCTCAACCACCTCCCGTGGAAGCCCATTCCATACCCTCGGGGTCCTCACTGTCAGGAAGTGCTTCCTGGCATCTAAATGGAAGCTTGTTCCCCTGAGTTTTGCTCTGTTGGAGCGCGTCCTGCCCTCCTCTGCAGGGGAGAACAGCAGAGGAGGAGGTGTCACACACCACATCTGTGTGACACCCCCTCACATACCAGTATGTCACCAACATATCCCCTCTGAGTCTCCTCTTCTCCAGGCTGAAGAGACCCAGTTCCCTCAGCCTCGCCTCATATGGCATTCCCAGCAAACTGGCCACCAACCTTGTGGCCCTACGCTGCACTAACCTGGCTATATCCTTCCTGTGATGGAGGGCCCAGAACTGAGCACAATACTCCAGTTGCGGGTGCACCAGAGTCATACAGAGTGGTAATAATACCTCTCTCAATCTAGAAGCCACACTTCTGGCCATGCAACCAAGGGACAACAGCACTAAATCCCACGCCTTGTTGATCAATTTAAGAAAGCACCACCAACCCTGAGGAAAAGCAGTAGCTTTACACTGATAAAGTCACAGGTCTCATCCCCAACTGCTCTTGGCAGAGCGAGAAAAACTTCTGCCTCAAAACCTGGAGCGGCTGCCAGTCACGGCAGAGAACGCTGGTCCATCTCAGTACGATCCCTGCTCTACTATCCAGCTCGCTATCCCCCTCAGGCTCACCCATTTGCGTGCCAGATCTAGGAGGCTTTGCCGGATCACACCAGGCAAGATGATTCCATTCAGTGGAGGGGTGACCAGCTCCAGATCTGGAAACCAAAGCAAAAGTTTCATACACACAGATCTGACCATTTGTCAAAATGCAGAAGGGAGAGGATAGAAAAATGGCTAGACATTGCACTGGGCACAGATCTCAGCTCTGTGAAATTGTGACTTTCATTTAAAAAAAGACTGATGTTTCTAGTCAGAGAAATCGTGAAGCTACATTCTGAACTGTGTAGGCAACACCTGTCGAAATCTCAGAAGGCAGTGGGATAGATGAACTCAACAACCCATAGGGGATCTTAGATCCTGAGTCTTGCAACATGGAATAAACAAGAGAATAATTTGATGTGAGCAATAAGCTGTTTTGTTTTTTTAATCCCTTTCCGGTATATTTTTTAAATTTATTAACAGCTTTTCTATCCCGTCCCCTACAAACGTCTTGGGACAGCTTACAATAATGCCATTTTCTTCTGTATCTTTCCTTGAATCTAAACTGAAAAAGTTCCTTCTCCACCCTCATCCCAGGAACCGATTTCCTCACCTCCCTGCTGGTTCTTCCAAAACATGAAGATATTCATGGTCCCAACTTCAGTGACTTGATGGTCATCCCCATAGAGCCACAGAACCTGCTGGCATCCCTCTTTAATGGCCTCATTCTGCACGTAAATGGTGGGGCCGTAGTTGCTGAGGGAGACAGGCAAGGAGAATAGATCGAAATGCACCCCTGGGAAGCAACGAGAGCTGGAGCAACCCTCTCTAGAAGCCATGGGGGAGCAGGCACAGCTCAATGCCCACATGGGCCAAAGCGCCTGGCGTCCCAGGGTGAGGACCATGGTTTGGCACAAAGTGGTGGGGAAGGAGTTCCAGTGCGAGACACCTGGGAAGCACCGGGCTGAGAAATGCTGGGCTGGGCTGCCCAGCAAGGAAGGCAGCTTCGTAGACTCTTGCTTTCTTTCTTCATTACATTTTATACTGCCCCATAACCAAAACTTTCTGGGCAGTTCACAATTTAAAAACATCAAATACAGTGTAAAAATTGAAATGGTTTAAAACTGCAGCATAAAATACAAGAAAAAAGAGAGTGCAAAGATTTAGAAGTCAACTTAATGAAGAAGTTTGATTTAGAAGTCAGCACGTTTTAATGCACGGCTGTTAAAAAAAGAAGGGGTCAGAGACTGCAGCTGGTCCAGAAAAGGGCTGCAAGATTCTTGGTGGGGAAGGGGTATTTCAACCAGGTTGCTCCTGCATTTGGTCAGCTGACTCATTTCATGGCCTGTTTTCAGGGCTCACTTGAAAGCACTGGTTTTACCCTTTTAAAGCTCTAAAGCAGGGAAGGGCAACATGTGACCCTCCAGATGTACAGGCCTACAGCTCTCATCATTCCTCACCACTGGCCATGCTGACTAGGACTGAAGGATTTGTAGCCCAAAACATCTGGAAGGCCAAAGGTCACCCACTGTTGCCCTAAAACCTACCTTAGAATGTTACCTGAACAACAGCTTTATTTATTTTTCGATTTATATCCTGTCTTTTTCCTACAAAGGGCTCAAGGCAGCTTACATCTCCTCCTCCATCTTATCCCCACAACAACAACAACCCTGTGAGGTAGGTTGGACTGAGAGTCTGTGACTGGCCCAAAGTCACCCTGTTGGCTTCATGGCCGAACGGGGACTAGAACCCAGATCGCCTGAGTCCCAGTCCCATGCTCTTAACCACTACACCACACTGGCTCCTCCAGGGTCTTTAGACCTTCAGAGGCCCTGCTTTGACTGCCCTGTCCAAATGAGATGGGTAACTATTACAGAGAGAGATTTTTCATTGTTGGCACCATGATACTGGAACAGCCTTACCAGAGAGGCCCCCTGGCTCCATCTTTATGCTCTTTTTGGCTCAAGTAAACGCCTTTCTATTCTTCCGTGACTTTTAAGTCCTTTTGCCTTTATGTCTGGGCCTCTCAGATTATAAGCTACGCTTTCCTTGAGTATTAGCTCTAATGGTCTGTATTCATTTATACTGTTTTTTACAGATAGCTGTAATATTTTTACAGATAGCTGATATTACGATATCAATACAGTAAATCAGAAGTATTGAGATCTTGCAGCTTGAGGACCATATTCAGTTGAGGAGATTCTCTTGGGAGTTGCAATTCGGAACAACGATGCCATCAAATGTAGTTTAAAGCTCTTATTGCCCATAACTAAGCCTCAGGAGAGGCATTTCAACCTTTCAGGATGGGGAAGAAACCTGTGCAAAAGCTGGGAAACCACCAAATGGCCGGGGTGAGGAGAGGAGGATGCCAGAATTCAACCCCATCAGTCCATAAGGAAACACATAATAATATTGAACTTACCAGCCCAGCTTACTATTCCCAACGCCACCTATCCAGGCACGGACAAAATGAGGATCAGCCAGGAGAGAAACAGGGTTGAAGCTGCCGGTGGCAAAATAGGGGCCCACAGGACCCAAGATCACATACAGCAATGCATGGTTGGACTTGGCGACCCCCAAGGAAGGCTGCAGAGGGAGAAGGAAAGGAAAAGAAGCAAGGGAAATCAGAATCAACTGATCTGTACTTTGAGGAGGTACTGGGAAGATGGCCATAACACAAGCTTGCTTTGGGATTAATTTCTGCCTCTCTCATTTAGAATGCGGCATTCCCAAGTGGAAGAGCAGATTTTGGAACCAAGGAACAGAGGCAAGGGAAAGTGCAGGAAGTGAGATTTCACAGGAATGGTGCATGGAATTCCAAGAGGGAGAAGTTTCCAGATCAAAATGATCTCAGGATTAATTTAAGAGGAAAAACAGATTTAAAAATCACATTACAGGAACTAGTGTGAAAACAGCCAAGACAGTGTATACTCTGTATTGTCAACATCTACGTTTTAAAAACTCAGATAATTTAATTTTTTAAAAAACCTCACTAAAAATTCATTTCTGTGCCAGTGAAACTCAGATATTGAAAAAATAATTATGTTGTGGTACAGGATTTGAAGTCAGGTGTCTTCTTGTCCAACTTCTAACCTCAACAGCAGAAGACTCCATAACTGATGCAAACCCCATCCTAAATAATTGGGGGTTGTATAGCTGTAAAAATTAGACCACTCAGATCTGCACTGATGAAGCTCTCTGGGTAACCTTTGACCTGTCACTTTATCATTTTAACCTACCTCATAATGCTGTAGTATATGCCCTTCTGAGCTCCTTCGATGAAGTGTTGCATATAAAAGTAATATATACATAATTAAATGAAGCTAGTACATGCAGAATTTCTTGCACATTTTCTTTTTTCAAAAAATCTGCTCCCTCTGCCCACAAGCAGGTGACTGGAGCAATTTATTTCTTATTGCTAAGGTGTCACAGTCAACTTGCACTGGAGCTTTCAAGAGCAATGACAGAATGACAGGTGCCTGTCCCAAGAGCTCACCATCAAGAATTCAACACAGGAGAAGCAGGCGAGGGAGGGAATTTTGACAGCTCGAGGATCTTGCCTCGGTCATTCATGCTCAGGTGACATCCACCTATTAGGATCTGTTTCCGGTGGAGCTGCCTTTAAAGACAGTTCGGCAGCTTCATCTAGTGAAGGTCACAGCTGCCTGAATATTGCTTGAGGCTGGGCATTTGGTCTTATGTTGCCTGTACCAGCCCAGCTACATTGGTTGCCAGAGTGCTTGCAAGCCCAATTTAAAACAACAGTTAAAGCCATAAATGGCTTAGGCCCAAGTTACTTCGAGAACTGCCCTGCCTGCCTACACTTGGAGGTCATCAGCAGAGGCTCCTATCTTGCCAGCAGAGGTCATCTATCTTGCCTGCCACCAGAGGAGGTGAGGCTGTGAATACAAGGACAGGGGCTTTTCAGTGGTGGCCTGGCACCTCTGGAATCTGCTTCCATCAGAGGTTCATCCGGCTGCTTTTTTGCAAGTATTCGGAAGGCTACTGGAGACCCATCTGCTTTGGCTGTGGGTGATGGTTTCCCATAATCTGTTGGCTTTAGGAGATATTAGCACAGTCTGCTCCTCTAATTTGCATATTTTTATATTTTACTGTATATCTATTTTCTAATGTCTGTATGTTTGTCTGTTTTTATACTGTACACCCCATTGATAGAGTTTTACTCTTAAAGATGGTCTAAAAATAATTTAAATGGATGATGACTGATTTGACAGAAAAATGATAGCATGAATATTGATGAAGTTCTATCCATTTCCTGCTGGAGAGACTTCTGACCCTGCTTTCTCCTTTGCTGCCAAGATTCCACCAGAACCACTTACAAATTTCCAAGCAGCCCAAAGTAGAGAGGTACAAATACCAGCTTATCTTACCAGCTAGTTATCCTCACTCCCCTACACATTCATAGCACACATGAAAGGCTCCTGAGATTGTCAGGAAAAGGTAAATACTTTACTGGAGGGTCTTCAACCTTCTTGGGGTTTGTTGGCACATCTGGAATTTTGAGAACGTGTTGTGGGTGCTTGCACAAAATGGCTGCCATGATGGGCAGGCCTGTCACAAAACACCTGTTTCCCAGAAAGCAGAGTGGTGAAGCTAAAGGAAAAATAATTTCCCCAAGAATCTAAGTACAAGGTGGGGGGTGGGTCTGAGTTCCAAACAACAAAGCCACTCTTCTGACATCAAATAAAGATGGCACTGAAGGGCTGAACTTTATTTTGCAGCTTCCTAGTTGAAATGAATTTGTTTTATTTTAATCCTAAGTAAGAAAATCAGGAGCAGACAGCTGAGACAGTGGACAGGGCAGCCATACAGACTAACAGGAAGCTTTGGAGAAGGGCAGGAGAATTTCTGCACATTTCCTGCCGGACAGTAAAGCCGGGTCTTCACCATGGTGTCCACAGGTACGAGTGTGCCCACAGATACTCCCCGTGGCTGCTGTTTCTGTCCTTGCCCAACACTTCCTGTAAGGCAACAGGTCTCCCTCCCTAGTTTCCTAACAAGTGGCAGGGCCAGAGGGACAGGCATGAGCGGCCTCACCTAACTTCCTCAGAGGCTTGGGCTCATAACTCCGTGGCTGCAAAAGTGACAGGAAGTCTGTCACCATCAGTCCGCAGGGTGTAAAGGAGACTTGCCCCTGGCAAGCAGGAGACTGGCAGTGTCTGGCCTTAAGGTCTAGAAACTTTATTTTGGGGAAGAAAAAAAACCTGAGACGCCCACTGTGCAATGTTCTACCCAACTATACACGTCCAGGGTGCACGATCATGCAAGCGTGAGTCAGCATTCCGATTACAACCGTTTCCATCAACAGCCAATGATGTAACCCTGTGCAAGTCTGGACAAAGAACAGGTCCAAAATTCCCCGCAGACAAAATTCCCTGTCATAGGCTTACACAGGGTTCTGCCCTAAATGGTCCTCAAACTCTGGTCTTATGAATGACACCTGGTAGCTGAGAAAGCTAAGTTCAAGAGAGGGGAGGGAGAGAGGGGAGGTCAAGTGAAAGGCTGAAGAGCTTTCTCGGGCTTAATTTGGGCTTTCTGGGCATCCTTTAAGACATGTATAGCCTGCATCTGAGCATTTTCAAGGCAGGTAACCAAAACAGTAACAACGACTAAAGCAATATGAATTTTTACACACACCCCAGCAAAGAGCATCGAATAGTGATAAAAACCAAGATATAACCTACAGCTTTTTTTTTCAAACTTCCACTCAAAGGCTGGGAGAAGAGTAAGTTCCTAACTTACTGCCTAGAGCAGCGGTTCCCAAATGATGTTCTGCGGAAACCTAGGCTTGCTCAAAAGCCTTGCGGGGGTTCTGTGAAAAATCTCAAATTTAAAATGGATTTTAAAATGAAACCACATGAGGCCAACTATTTGATTGTCAGTTCAGCAAACAAGGAAATGCATCACATCATTTGGTTCCTATGACTTTATTGTGCAGTGTTGGGAATAATCGAAAGAATTCATTTGGGATATTACCATATGATTGCTTTATTCCTTCATCATATTTAAAATGTTTTTCTCTTTATGTCCAAACCTACTACATTAAGCAAAGCACTCAGGCAAAAGGAGCAGATCAAACAAGGAAGAATATTAGGGGTTCACAGTGCTTAGCAAAAATCAGGGATAGAGAGCCAATGTGGTGTAGTGGTTAAGAGCATGGGACTGGGACTCAGGCAATCTGGGTTCTAGTCCCCGCTCAGCCATGGAGCCAACTGGGTGACTTTGGGCCAGTCACAGACTCTCAGCCCAACCTACCTCACAGGGTTGTTGTTGTGGGGATAAGATGGAGGAGCAGATGTAAGCTGCCTTGAGCCCTTTGCAGGAAAAAGGCAGGAAATATCGGAAAAAATCGGAAAAAAATAGAGTTAGGGTTCCGTGGAAAAAGAGAGCTTTCAGAAAGGTTCCATGACTGAAACAGTTTGGGAAGCACTGGCCTAGAGGATAACAGAGGCAGTGTTGTAGGCATATCCTGGGAGGAAGCTGAACTTCCTCGGGAAACCACCACAGAGGAGGCCCTGTCCCTGGTTGCTGCCCATCTCGCCTTAGATTGTGGAGGTTAGCAAAGGAAAGCTTCCAGTGGAGATCCTTAAAGAACAGGCACATTCACAGGAGAGCAGGAGTTTGGCAGGAATGCAACCAAAATGGGCTTGTCTGGGAAGGGAGATTCATACCTCAGTGCCGATGAAAGTGGGACGGATATAGAGGCTAGCATCATCGGAGTAGGGGACCCAATCTTGGTCCACGCGGATTAGCTGCCGTATACATTCCAGTAACTCATTCTTGTCGAAGGACTGCGTAGAAAGGAAGAAAGGGAACCAGTGAGAATGGCGAAGCTGCCCCGCTCCTTCTCAATCCGCAAAAGCCTCGATGCCGGGATCTTTCCCTGCTCTGCCCCCGTCTGCCAGGGACATCGGAAGCTGCCTCATACTGGGGCAAACTTCTTGCCCTTCTAGCCCTGTATTGCCCACTTGGAGTGGCAGCAGCTTGCCAGGGTCACAGACAGGAGGCCTTTCACATCTCCTGCACCCTCATATCTTTGACGGGAGATGCCAAGAACCAGCATGAGACTTGAGCAAAAGGCAAAAAAGATGGCGCCAAAAAAAGAAGAAGAAGAATGCCAGCACTTTTTAACTTAAAGCATTTACTGCCAGTAACTAGACCCTCAGAAAAAGCTTTTCAGCCTTTTCCAGTGGGAGGGAGGGCAAACTGCACAACAGCTGGGGAACTGCCTAACTCTTGGTGAACCAAGGGGAAAAGGCACGGCCACTGGGAAAGCTCCAGAGGCCTGAATCTGTGCCTGGGCCCAGGCTTTAGCAGCATGGTCTACACTGACTGGCAACCTCAGGAGTCTTTCCCTAAAGACTCAGGGATTGGGCCCAGGAGTAACTTGATGCAAAGCATTTGCTCTTCCACCGAGCCAGAACCCTTTTCCTACGAATCAAGGGAATCTTCTCATGCCATCCTCTGCATTCACCCTGACTCTGCCCCACAGGTGAGGAAATTGTGGCCCAACAGGTATTGTTTGCTTCTGACTCCCATCAGCCTGGCCAATGGTCAAAGGTGGTAGTCCAAGAGCATTTGGAAAGCACGAGGTTGGAGAAAGCTGGAGTAGTTAAAGACATTCCCCCAGCTCTCCTCCGCATTACTGAAGATCACCAAAGGGTTTGAGGGGGTGTCCCAGTTTCAAATCCCAGCTTGACCATAATGCTCTCACCTGGTCTGTCAACCTTGAGCCGATTGTGCTTTCTCTCTTAGGCTCAGCGTACCTCATAGGGTTAAGAAGATAAAAAACGGGAAGGAGTACAATAACACAGTGAGTTGCTTGGAGAGAAAGAAGGGCATAGCCATAATAAATAAGGTTTTGCCTTATCAGACCCTGTTTCATCCTTGGAATCCCAAAATGATTTGTCTTGCTTGCTCCCAATCACAGCAATAGTCAAATGGAGAGAGGCTGGAGCGCACTGGAGTGTGGCCAGCTGGTGCCAACCTGAAAGATGGGCAGCACCTATTTAAAGGCAATAAATTCACCAGCAGCAGGGAAAGTGATGGCCGCCATTTGGAGTGGCTTTAAAAAGGGCATGGAGGAGGATGGCTAGGTGCTACCTCCAGGAGCAGGGGAATTTTTAAGCATGGTTTCAGATGTCAGGGTTCTCAGTTCTGTGGGGAGAGAGACAAGGAGATGCCTCACAAATATACTCACAGGCAGGCAAGCGCGAAGGCTGGAACGTAACATGCGGTCCATGTTCATCATGGGACGAAAAAGGCGGATGTGCTTATCTGGGCCCCGGAAAGCTTTCATCCCCTCAAAGAGCTAAAGATGGGGGTGGAGGTGGGGAAGGGTGGAGGAAATGAACATGTTATGCATATTGTGATGATCTAATTGCTTCTCCCTGTAGTGTCGTGGACCCTGTTAAGTTATAGGTTTAGGTCAGCCTGGAATTCAGACTTCCCCTACAGAAACAGAGAAACATAGAAACAGAGTGAGCCAGGAGGGGTCTCCCGGGCCATCTAGTCTGACCCCCAGCTCGTATCGTTCCCCCGAATAACTTAGTGCCATCTATACACTGATTTAAAAAGAGCGGTTGAGCTTTCACTTTTATAAACCTGGCAGGGTAAGTTAAAAAGAGCACACAAGGGTATGAGAAGTTATCTCTAGAACCCATCATGGTCTAATGGTCTGGACAAGATGCAAACAAATGAAAGAAAGGGCACAATCCTATGCAAATAGGCAGCCGAAAAAAAGGAGGCGCCTACAACTCCCAGCATGCCCCAGCAAGCAGGTTTTAGCATGCTGAGAGTTGTAGGGGTTTTGTTCCCATCTAAACTTGTATAGGCTTGCCCCTTATATGTACTGATTCTGATAAGGGATATGAAATGAACTTATCCATAAATATCTGCAACCTAGAATCCAGAAATAGTAACTGCTGGAGAAAATTAAGATGTAATGGTTGGATTCAATAACCCTAACCTAGCCTTCCCCAACCTTAGGCCTGCCAGATGTTTTGGATTATAACTCCCAGCTTTCCTGCTCATTACCCCTGCTGTCTGGGGCTGATTGGAATTGTAGTCCAAAACATCCGGAGGGCATCGGGCTGGGAAAAGCTTAGCTAGCCCTAACCACCAGCTATGTAGCTATGCTGTTTCTCTACCTTTCCTTTGAGCCCACTAATTCTTCTGTCTCTCGCCATCTGCTCTCTGCACCTTTCCCCGACATTGTGTCCTCAAAGGTTTCACACTATGATGCCCATCATCCCGGATTACTGGCCATGCAGGCTGGGGCTGACGGGAGATGCAGTCCAAAACATCTGGAGGACAGCATGCTGGGGCAAGGAGGCTCTATAGCAGTGATGGAGAACTTCTCAGAGACCGAGTGCCCAAACTGCAACCCAAAACCCACTTATTTATCGCAAAGTGCCAACACTACAGTAAAACCTGAAAACTGAGGTTTTAGTTTGGAAAAAACACCTCACAGCCACTCCAAGCAAGTATATATATATACAATATATCCTTGGTAGAACACAAACTGGCCATGCAAAAGCTCGGATGAGTCACAGCTAATGAGTCCTGGCTTGGGATGTCATTGCCTGGTGCCCCTACGCCTTTCCGATCATGCGTATGGCCCCTATGTGCACTGTTATCCGATGCTCAGCTGCTGGAGGGACTTTGCTCTCTTACCAATAGAGAACCTCTGCGTGCCATAGGTTCACCACCACTGGTCTAACCCTACCCTGATGCACTCCCCAACCATAGTATAGGGCTAAAATACCATAAAAAAGAGGGTGATTTTGAAAAAGCCTTCCTTGAGTAGCTTTATCTGCACAGCTCAGCATTTCTGCCCATTCTAAACACATTCCAACCATCAAAACCATGCCAGGACACCTCCTTTTTCTAACCCTAACTCAGTGATGGTGAACCTTTTAGAGACCGAGTGCCCACACTGCCACCCAAACCCCAATTATTTATTGCAAAGTGCCAACACTACAATAAAACCTGAAAACTGAGGTTTTAATTTAGAAAAAACAACTCACAACCAGTCCAAGCAAATATTTATATATCCTTGGCAGTGCACTGACCAGCCATGCGAAAGCTCAGATGAGTCGCGGCTAATGAGTCGTGTCTCGTGACATCATTGCCTGGCCCCGCTACTCCTTTCCGAGCAGGCGCATGGCCCCTCTGTGCGCTGTTATCTGATGCTCGGCTGCTGGGGCGATCCTGGGGCAACATGGCTTGCGTCCTGTCAGAGAGGGCTCTGCGTGCCCCCTGTGGCACGTGTGCCAGAGGTTCGCCACCCCTGCTCTATCGTCCCCACCTGTCACTCACCCACTATTCCATCCGACTGCCCAGTTGCCAATCATTCCTCTACCCTTTCTCCAGCTACATGAACACGCCTTCTAGCAAAGATGGCCAGGTGGAGATGAGTCACTTTTTCTGCAGGAAGCAGTTACCTCAACTGAATAGTGCAAGGCAGAAGAGGCCGGGTGCAGAGAGAGATTCTGAAAGGGTTTGATGTGTGGTTTCCCCCAACCTTTTTCCCTGCTCCACTCCACAGTAAGCATATGGTCAGTAAAGGTTTTTCCAAAGACCAGCTTCCCGGGATCTGGTTTGGAGTTCGGGTGCTTGGTCAGTTCCACCTGGAGATCTGAGGCCTGGGAAGAAAAATGCAAGCAGAACAATTACACTTTACAGTTGATTGGCCAGGCCTCTATGAGGCCTAAAAACTTGCTTTTCCACCACCCCAATTAGAAATTAGAAGTCCCACCACATGTCCTGCATTTTCCACTCACATCTCCCCAGCTTGGAACATATCTCTGAAATCAGGAGGTCACAGTCTGCATGCTCTCACCTTGAATGTAGTACTTAAAAATCTCTGAGGACCAAGAAATGAAATAAGAACATTGCATGACCTTCCTCTCAAAACCTAGAAGGAAACAAGAAAGGAATTAACAGGAGGGCAACTCCACAGCATAACAGAATGCCTGGACCCATTAGTCAAGACAGCTGGGGATGATGGGACTGCAATCCAACACAGCATGAGGCCTTGTTTGGGGAAGATGGCCGGAGAGCCAATTCTGATCCATGGGTCTCCATAGGACATGCAACCTGCCCTTGGACAGAAGTCCAGTCTCACCATACGGAGATGGCAGAAGCCAGAGGTGGCTCAGAAGATGCTACTCTTTGGGCTTCGTGGAGAGCAGGGCAGTTGCTTTTACATGGGGAGCAGTCATTAAGGGCCCTCCAGGGCCAGGCCAAGAGTCCATCCAGGTAGGCCTTCTATTCACAGTGGCCAACCCACAGGGATTTCGCAAGCAGGACATGGGCGCCACAGGCCTATCCTGGCCACGTCCCACTGCAACTGGCATTCACAGGCCTACAGCCTCTGGTAGTGAAAGCAGCATAAAGCCACCGTGGCTGGCAGGCAATGGCCACTGATCCTTCGTGATTTTCTCTCATTCTTTTCTTAAGGCCATCCAAAGTGGCGGCCATCACTACGTTTTGTGGCAGCCATGTGGTGCAGTGGGAACCAACACGGGGCTGGGACTCAAGCGGTCTGGGTTCTAGTCCCCAGTCCAGCACAGAGCCAACTGGGTGACTCTGGCACCGTCATGGACTCTCAGCCCAATCTACGTCGCAGGACTGTCGTTCTGGGGATAAGATTTGGAGCAGCAGGAACAGAATGATGTAAGCAGTTTTGAGCTTGTTATAGGATAAAAGCAGGCTATAAATCTAATAAAAATAGTGAATATCCCTAGTTTAACTATGAGCAAAGCAAAAAAAGTACATTTCTTTATCTCTGCTAAAACTTCCACCAGTCAGCTTCACGGGATGGCTCCACTGGGGTCTTGTATTATGAGATGGGGAGAAAAATGCCTCCTTATCCACAATCTTCACACCAGGCATAATTTTGTGCACCTCTATCATGTCTCCTCTTGCTCACCTTTTTTCAACCTCAGCAGCCCCAGCTGCTGTAACCTTTAGTCACGGGGCCTTGATCTGTCCCTTTGACCATTTTTGTGGCCCTTTTCTGCTTTTTTCCCAACCTACAATCAACGTCCCTGTTTAGGTGCAGCAACCAGAACTATATGGAGTATCCTGCATGGTCATCCTGCAGATCGGTTGTGTCATCTCAGCTCCTTTCCTATTTATGCCGCACACGGAGCTGGTCCTTTCCACAGCAGCCACAGACTGGTGTGACACTTTTTCAAGCCGTCCACCACAACCCCGCGATCTCCCTTTCTGATTGGCCGCTGCTCGCATGTTCTCCCCCAGTTTGCAGAGATCCTTTTGAAGCTCGTTGCCATCCCTTTTTGATTTAAGCACCCTAGATAATTTGATGTCATCAGCAAGCTTGACCTCTGCACTGCTCCAGGGACATGCTCATCACAGATGTGCTTGCTTGCTTTGTCTAACCATCCATTCCCCTTAAGTAAACAGCATCAGTTAATGTGTAATCTGCAAAGAGTACAGGGGCCAAAAGAGGGGCCTTCTGGGAACTAGGTGGGTGACATCCCATTGTATGCAGAGCTTGCCCTGCGCTGTGCCCATTTTCTGCCGCTGCCGCATTAGCAACCAGGGCCAGAGCACTGAAAAGAGCTGCCTTCATTGCCATGCCCAACAAGATCCGTGCAAGCAGAGCACAAAGCAGGCGATTGACGATTCAAGCGTGGGAACGCTGCTTTTTCCATTTCTGCTGAGGTGGCCATTCTCCAATGAGCCGCGTGAACAGATTCCCTGCTCCTTCCTCCTGGTTTTTTTTTTTTTTAATCTCTCCAGGATTGAACTTCAGCCCCTGTTGAATCACAGCAGACAAGAATAGACAGGAGAAGGAACCAGACACTTCAGCAAAAGGGACACCATCGTGGCATGATCCTTTTTGGTCATCATTCTGAAATGGAGTATCACAAACCTCACTGGCAAAGGGGGAAGATTTACAGAGGTAAGTCAGCAGGGGTTCTGGGGAGCAAGATGATTTGTGTCTCCCTCTCTCTCCAACACCCAGCTCCCTGTGATCAGGAAATGTGTGGGGAAGTCAGAAAATGAGAAGCAGGGAAGGATTTTCAATCCTGAGTACTGAAAACAAAAAGCAAGTTTTAAAGCCACACAGAATTCTTCTTCAGGCATGGAAACATGTGTTCCCCACAATGGATTCTGAACTGTAATGTGGATTTATGGGTTATGGCTTTCAGCAGAATTATGGGGGGAGCTGTTCCTCACCCCGTGACCATCCATAAAAAGGCATAATGAGTCTGCTCCACAAGAAATCTTTTCAAAGTACCTGGATTTCCATCTGGTCCTCCATTTAAGGGAAGCAGGATGGGGGCTACATCCCCACCCTGTCATCCTCTTAAGGCATGCAGGCTAGGCTGAAGGAGAGCAGAGCAGCAGACGCAAGAAAACCTCACTACCTTCATGGTTCAAACTCCAATCCCCCCAGCAAGCAAAGTCCAACACCCTCAGCCATGATTCTGATTTCAGATTCTGATTTCATCTGCACACATTTTAAGCCTGGGGTGGGGAGTGTGTGGCTCTCAGATTGCTACTCCTATCAGCCTAAACAGCATGGTCAGTGGTAAGAGAGGATGGGACTTGTAGTCCAGCAACATCTGGAAGGCTGCACTTTCCCCACCCTCTGACTTAAGCCATCAAGTACAGAAACCAGAAGCTTGTGCCTTGGGAAAACCAAAGCAACAGCAGATTAGTCTGTTTTACGAGAATCTAAAGCTGAGATTGATTTAGAAACTGGGACGGAGGACGACAGCTTTATTTCAGAGATGGCAAAGTGAGCAGGGAGGAACTGGAGGAGGGGAGGGCAATCCTCAGGCTTGTGGGGTTTGGTTTTGGGATGGGTTGGTTCTGAACAGAAGCTCAAGGCTCAATAACCAGAGCCAGGCCCGAAATGGCGGCTTGGCTGCAGAGCCAGCTGCAGGGAGGGATCTGATGGGACAGAGCCAGTTGTCTCCAGCCCCTCCCCCCCCACTCCCATCATACAGTTAGCTTGGCTCACCTGGGTAAACGAGAGCAAATCAAGCCCTGCACTGAGGCAGAAGGGAGATTCTAAAGCAAAGACCTGGTTCAAGCCCATTTTTTATCTGCAAAGAACACGGAAATTGCAAGCGGAATGATTAGCACAAGGCCAGCTAAGGCAAACTATCTCTTTCCTCTCTTGTGTGGGCAATGTTACTTGCTGCTGTTAAGGCTGGGATCAGAAGCCTTTGCTAATCAGCTGGAAAGTACACAGTGATTCACTGGTAGAGCTTAAGCCAGTTTCTGCAGCCTGGTTGCCACGCAGGTTGTCTCCTGTGACCAACCAGCTGTCCTCTTGAAGCGCATGGATGCATGGCCTTTCCTGCCAACCCATGGCTTGACATGAATGTGAGTGAGCCCAGAGGAAGCATGGACTGGCACACCCCACTCCCCACCCAGGCCATGCCAATCCCCTTCTTCCAATTCCTGGCATGACCCTCCGTCCAGGAGGACCATCAAACCCCCTAAGGGCTCACTTACAAACCAAAATCACAGGGCAGGGTTTGTGTTGCTTGGACAAAGCAGCAAATGAGGAACAAGAAAGAACTGCATGATTTTACGTGGGAGGAGAGGGAACAAGAGTGTGGAAGCCCAGGGGGCTACAGCACTAGGGTCAGACTATTCTAGCCCTCCCCTGCCCCTCCAGGTGTTTCAAGCTATAACTCCCAGCATCCCCAGCCAGCACGGCCAATGGGATTTGTAGCCCAGCCCATTCAGAAGCCTCCAGGCTGGGGAAGGCTCATCACTAGTCCAGCTTTTTCTAGTATGCCCAGGAGCAACTCTAAGGCAGCCTCCACCAACAGGGTGCCCTTCAGATGTAATTGCCTCCAACTCCCAGAATGCTGCTGACTAAGGAATTCTGGGAATTGTAGGCCGTTACATCAGGAAGACACATAGTTATGGCAGGCTGCTCAAAGGACTTACGCAGAAAGGTCTCTCTTTCTCTGAATCTTTGGGGATTTTTAAAACTGGAGATGCTGGGAATGGAACCAGGGACCTTCTGCATGCAGGGCAGGTGCTACCACACAAGAGGAAAATGACATTTGAGACAGAAGGAACTGGGAAGCAGGTTTCATCGATTTAGTCCGCCTTTCTCAGCCTGGGGCCCTCCAACTGGAGATGGACTATGATTCCTAGCCAGCCTGGCCAGTGCCACAAGGCAGAGCCTTTGCAGCTGTGTGCCTGGTAGACATCAAACAGGTGAGGTCTTTTCTGACGGCATTCAATAGGTGCAGCCTTGGGAGAGAAGCACCTTTGGAATGTCTGCCTTGAAGGCAGCTGCGTAAAGAAGCACAGCCTCCACGAACACACTGTCTTGGGAACCAATGTGGCTGGAAGGAACAAGTAAGATTTCCACTCAGGGTGGGAACAGGAGATTCTTCCATTTAGTTACAGAACCCTTCAAATAGCTTTTACTAACCTGGTGCCTAGTAGATGTGTTGGGCAATGACTCCCAACAAGGATGCTGGGAGTTGTAGTCCAGCATAATGGGAAATGAGCAGATGAGAGGAAAGCTGATTTAAAAGCAGGTAGAAATCCCCTTTATCAGCAGGAGGCAGTGGGAGGCACAGAATGCAGAACAGTGCTGGACGCATCAACATAGCAAGCGTAACGTTTACACTGCTGGCCTCAAATAATCCACCCTCCGTCCGCATGCAGGGCTGGTTGCTTGGAGGCAGAGAGGAAAACCTCCACAGAGCATTTCTGACCCTTAGTTGCCATTCACCCTAACTGACAACCCTAAGATATGCCAAAACCATTCAAATTCTACACTCAGGACAACTGACTGGCCTAAATTATACCAATGAAATCTATTTCTGTGTACCAATTTACTATGCCTAAACAACTCCGTTCTGCCAAGTCTAGTTTCCAAATATATGTGGGATTCTATAACTGGATTTTTTTTTTTACTCATGGGTGAACATTAAGCCTTTTTCTCCATAGTCCATGAGGACTAGAAAGTTGTGCTTTAAATAAATAAATAAATAAAATCTGAGATTCTTAAGATCTCACATTCCCATCCAGAATCAATTTCCCTAATTGGGCAGCAACGTTGTTTTGAGGTGGAACACACACAGCCCTGGGGAAAAGCAGTCCTGGAACTGCAGGACTAACTAATCCAGTTTCTTCCTTCTAAATGGATGTCTGCAGGCACAGAGACCTCACCCCTGCCCGAATTAGGTACTTCCACCTTGGACTCAAGGAATGAGTTAAAACCCAACCACACTAACTTGTGGCCTCAGTTTGCCATCTGTAAAATGTCTCTGGCCATTTGGTGTTCGATCTCGATTTGCTTGATCCTTGTATCTGCCTTGCCTTCAGCTCCAGCCCAGTTACATTAAACTATGTCCCAGATACCCTGCAGCGAAAGAGCAGGGGAGTGGCCAGGCTGTAGCCCAGGGAAAGAGAAACTGGAGAAATCAGATATCCCAGGAGGAAACGCCTCACAGGCCTCCACAGCCCAGGCAAAGGCAAAACTGACTACACAGGGTGAAATGATATCCTTTGAGCATTAAGTCAACCTCTAATTAACGGGATTAGGAGGCAAAGAGGGATTATTAACAGCCACTAGAGGGAGCGTTTAATGCCTTCTAGTTACAATAACTTGGCAGCAGTCCCTTGGGGTGAAAGCCACAAATCCAAGTCAGATGGGAGGGTTGCTTAAAACCACAGGAGCAGTTCAAACTGCATTTTTGTGCACGCATGTGGGACGGGGAACTCCAGTTCCTCTTGCTTCTGCTCCTTGATTCAGACATATTACTCACCACTATCTTCATAGCAAGCATTCTTGCCTCCAGACCTGCTAACACCCAGAGGGGAAAACTTCGGGGGTCAAATGTTCATCATTTCAAGTGCCAGGAGCCCCGGCCTCCATGGCCAATCATCAGGAATGATGGGAGTTGAAGTCCAAAACATGTGGAGATCTTCTTTCTGCCCAACCCTGTGATAACACCCTTATCAAAACACATACATCCCTTATCAAAACACAAAAGCACATAACATGGCCAATACGCCACCAATGGCATTTTCTTCGCATTGGTCATGTGGACCAATATAACCGGGCAGTGGCCACGTGGAAGCTGATTATACAGAAGCAGTCTATGGGCTGCCTTGAACCATTACAATGTTACAGAGATCTGCCCATTTCATTCCCAACAATGAAGCCTCACATACTGGCAGGGTTGTGGTAAAACCGTGACAAAGGACGATTGGTGCATCATGCACCAGGTGAAGAAGGCCATCACAAGCTTTACTGGAAAGTTCATGGGCTGAGAAGCAAGAGGATATTACTGTTTGTCAGTTCTTTCTTTACGCCAATTAAAATCAGATGTGGGTATTATATACCCTATGAACATCTGGTAATGTCATGGTTAGAGTACAGGTGGGCAACTTGCAGCCCTCCAGATGTTGATGGACCACAGGTCCCAGCAACCATCAACATTGGCTATTCTTCTAGGACTGATGGGGGCTGGAGTCCAAGAATATCCATAGGGCCACAACCTGTTCCCACCTGCGAGTTAGAATGTTGGACTTTCCCTAGGGAAATCTGCTGGGTTCAAACCCCTGAGGTTCTGATTATGGTACTGGATGGCCTTGGGCCACCCTTTCCTGGCATACAGGGTTGTTGTGAGGATAAAGAGAAAACAGTGCCATATAGCCTGCTTATATCTGGTTGAACAGCAGACAGTATTTCCTTCTAACCTGTGGCAGGTCCTTTGGAGGTGAACCTGCCTGAAAGACTTGAGATGGTACCTGAGCCCCAACAGACTGAACAGCTGCTTTGAACCCACAATTTTCAGCACCAGCAAAAACTGATTTTATATTGATCCCAGCTGTCAGTGAGAAAACATGTAGTTTTAAAGTGGGAGGTATAGGACACCTTGGCAGGTGCCATGAAAAGGGGTCACACTGGTATCAACAGACTGAACAAAATCTGACTCATTATGTAGCTGATTCATTTGTCTTAATGCCTAAGTCTGAAAAGGAACAACATGGGGAACTTTTCCATCTTTGAGCATATATATTGGAACTCCTTTGGCTCTGTTTTTCCATACTGCTTCACTCTAATCTCCCCACCTGATGTTCTCCTAAGGAAAGGCAAACAAGAGTAAGAACATGCTGGCATTGCCACCTGAGTGGTTCACTGTAGGTGACCTATTTTTATTAGTAGTAGTAATAGTAGTATTCACTCCATTTATATACCACCTTCTATTTTTGTAGGTCACAGCCCATCAGTTATTATGATTACAGTTATTATTCCACTTTCATATCGGCCCCTAATGCATGGGGCTCTCTGGACAGTTTACAGATTTAAAAATATACATAGGAACAACAAAATAAAGACAAAAATCAGAAATAAAATTAAAAGTGACATCCGGCGGTGGGTGGGCAGTGGCAGTGGACAAGGATCTGTAGCAGAGATGGGCACCGTTCAAGTACGTGGGATCTGGTTTGCTTTTGTTTTCTACTAGGACTCTGAGGTCCACCAGCAGGTGCCAAACTGGGGGAAAAACATGGCCCAGGTAAACTGGGGACAGATGCAAAAGCATGGCCCAGGGAAAGGCAGCCAATCACCACTCCAGCCCAGAAGCCATATAGGGGTAAGCAATGCCCAGATCAGGGATGTGGTACTTCTTTCAGACTGAGAGCTAATTCCATTCTGGAGAAGCTAAGGGAGGGGGGTCCAATGGTAGGTGAGGCCAGAGATGGGGCGGGGTACCCCAAATATCAGCATATTTTAACTTAATGACCTTACTGCCAGTAACTGAGCTGTAGAAGAAACATTTCAACAGGACGGGGAAAATCTTCATCAAAGTCTAGAAATCATTAGTTTATGATCAGGGAAAAGTGCATGCCTGAGAAATCCCAGAGGCTAGGATCAGGGCTGCAGGAGAGCCAGGTCTGAGCCCTGGCTTGAGGTTCTACACCTGCTCCAGTTGCTCAGGGCCACTCCCACAAGTGTGAGGCACCATGACCAATAGTCAAGGATTTGTGGGAGTTGTGATCAAAACTGTTTGCTTCCCCCTCCCGCCGCCCATAACCTGCATATACAAATCTGAGTGCTACAGTTCAGGAAATTTAATAGCTCATCTAAAACACAAATTAAATAAAAGCCTTGTTGGCCTTGTTTTAATTTAGCAGTTGGGAATCAGAACCCCTTCCTGATCACCTGAAATTCATCTAGAGATCTACTTGGAAATTGCAGTCGAAAGGAGTCTGAAGGGAGCTGCTGGTGCCTCTCCCAGGCTCCTTGCCTTCTGCATGATTTTTGGCCAGCGTTCTGCATGCTGTCAGGGGGCTTATGTTTAAATTTCCCACAATGCCGTTGCCTTGGTGTCATTCAGGGGCATTATGCCCATGGTTAGACACAACTGCCCAGAACCATTCTAAAATTGGACTTTCTTCTACATAGAATGTATGCTTGATGGCCACTGAGTACACACAGCCTGCTTAAGCAAATCAAGGAAGAACTGAGTGTTGTGATTTCAACATAACCAGAGGAGGTGATTTCTTGCCATGG